AAGCTCTTTATATACCAGGAATTTATTTTTTAATATATTTCCATAACTGCACCATGAATTAGTTTGCAGCGAGTTGGACTCAGCTTGCAGGAGGCAAGTGAGGGTCGGGCAGCCCCAGCACCGAGTTGTTCTGCCCCTTCCCGCACACAGAGGTCGTGTGTAAATCCAAAATTCTTCACTTCTTTTTGCTAGAAAGCAAATAATCTGCCCAGGGAAGTGCAATGTAAGAGAGACATTCTTCCCAAACGTGAAATTCTCCACATAAACTACGACGAGCATTTACCTTCCGATCTGCAGCAGCCTCTTGCTAATTGCTTTGTATTGTTCTTGAATAATTTATATCATGTGCACTGTAGCAGGGTTATCTGAAAACATTTCTTTTCTTTGAATCATTCATTTAGAAGAAGTTTATTAATGCCTCCCTGTTTTTGTCCCGTTTAATGGTGAGGAGAAGCTTTCCAGGCCAAAGTGACATTTCTTAAGGACTTCTGGTGACACAGTGTAATTTCTGGCTGGCTGGTATGTAAATATTTACTTTACCTTTAAGTGTTTCTACATCCTGCAATTGAGATTATTGTTATGATTACTTCCCAAATTTTCATATTTAATCTACTACTAAGAAAGAAAAACCTCAATTAATTTCTGCTAGGTTTTTCCTGAGAGGCTATGGGTGTCTACCCTGCGGCTGCAATGGAGTAGCTCACTGCAGAATATCTTATATCTTAGTGAAATAAATAATGCCCATGTGTTCCTACGGGCTCACCACATAACTGGTGAAACAACAAAAACTGGTAAAACAAGCAAAACTAGTTTTCCAAGATTTTTTCTCTTTCCTTGCTCCTCACTTCAGTCTTCAATGCATGTGTAATGTCAGGATCTCTTTTCAGTGGATTTAATATTGTGCAATTCCATTTGTACCTGGGATTAATTTGAGTAATTGCTTTTGATGCAGCCTTACAAAGGCTTAACTAAGGGCACTAGGAAAAAAAAACTGTTGATTTACGTATGAGCTATAACGGTAACTAATGTAATGTGCCTTTATTCCTTGTTCTGCAAAATTTCATGTATTTGGGTTACTTTTCTGAAGAAGGGTTATTTAGGCATATGGAAGAACATCTGTTCTGGCATGAAAAAACCACTGTTTCAGTGCTTATACAGTATAAAACACCATCAGAGGACTCTGGGCATCCACGATAGTATGATGCTGGCTGTGATTTCTTGCAAGCAGTATTTCCCTGCAGAGGTGGTAGCTGGTTATTCCATAGGGTTTTGACTCTGGAGAATTAAATTTGTGCCATGTTGCAAAGGGTTTGCGGGCGCTGACCCGTTGCTCTGGAAAAGACAGAGCTCAGGCAGGGAGCGAGAGCGAGACAGGATCGTTTAATTATGCATATTTCACCATCATTTCTGCCCTTTTTTTGTGATTAGCTAATGTATAAAATATCAGGCAAATATGAATTATTCAGTGAGGAACTTGAAAGACAATTTCCTTGGCTATTTCAAAGTCCTTTCTGCCTCTAAAACCCAATTAGCTTAGAAACATGAACGCCCCCTCGCCCCAAAACATTTTGTGACTTGTTGAAAAATTGTATGGCCAAGCCATTTTGTCTGAAACTCTGAGTTTTGAACTGAAAACTTTTCAGCCCTTCCCGAAATGGCCGTTTCAGTTTCCTGCACTGTCAGCAGAGTTTTGTCCATCGGCCGGAGCGAGCCGGCCCTTCCTCCCCAAAGACCCGGGAAGGGCGAGTTGGTGCTTTGGGTGTTTGTGGCTTAGGGGCTGTGACGGGACGTGGGCAGGAGGAGCAAACACTGAAATGAGACTCCTCGGCAGCCTGTGTATTGTGTTTGTCCCGGGGAAATGTGTTTAAAACATGCTGAAAAATGCATCCGTGCTTAACCCGATGGAAAGGCGGGCAGCTCTCACACGTGCAACGCCACGGAGCAGATCGGCTTCTTTGTACATCTCCTCTTCCGTGCTCAGGATAAATCCTGCTGCGGTACTTGCTTCCCACAAACAAATTGGTACTGAAGGTGGCTTTGGCTTTGGATCCTGAGCCATATGTTTGATGTATATGGATATAAAGCCTTCCTGTTTGGTAATGGTACAGTCAGACATGAGGATGTGTCTGTTTGGAAGCGCCGAACTTCGCAGATGCCCCGATGGGAGGTGGCAAGAGGAGGTACTTGGTAAACAAGCGCGTGAGACTTTAATGCAAACCCATCTGGTGCTCCCTGCCAGCCGTGTTCACTGTTCGGAAGGGGCAGATAGTGCTCTGCAATGCAAGGAGAGGTGGGGAATGCAGAGCAGGTGCCTCTCAGTGCCTCACACTCATGGATGGGCTTGGAGGCTGACGCAGTGGCGGAGAGAGCCGCGTTCGTGAGCGCTGCTCTTAGCCTTGCTGCACTGAAGACTTCTGACAAATCAACTCGTGTTTACAAATCTGTGACTTCATAGCTGTTAAGACCCTAAATGAAAACGTATCTAACCAGATTAGACAGGAGCAACTGAGGGCAGGATTGGTTTTAAAAATAGAATGGATTTTTGTCATGTTTTTTGTTGTCAACAGTCAGAAGGTTTCGTGGTCACAAAGATGCTTTCCTGAATCTTAATATGCTAAAAATAATTTCAAATAAGGGATGTGATGGCTTCTGAAGGAGGGTTTGGTAGCATCCCTGTTCCTGCCTATGCTGATCCTGATCATTCCATGGGTCGAGTGCGTTCCTGGCCGGAGCCGCAGCCATGGACCCGTCAGCGCTGCGCTCCGGATCACCGCAGAGCAGAGACCCCAGGGATTTCGGATCGCTTCGTTTCCAGCCTTCGTCGCATCTCAGCTTCTCGTAACACGAATGAGATCCAGCTGAGGATGGTGGGGAATACTTTTTACTTTAATTATATATTTTCCAGCATCATCAAGTTGGCTAGTAATGAAATTTAAAAAAAAAAAAAATGAGAACTTATTGTCTAAAGTTATTAAGCAATCTAAAATAGTTGAAGTGCCTCCTCATGTCCCACAGGCAAATGACTGTGGCAGCGTAACTGTTGATATTAAATCCTCCATCATGTTAACGATGCACTACTCCTCCTTGGAGAAAAATTTAAGAAAAGAAACAAAAGAGAAATAATTTGGCATATTGTAGTGAGCAGCAACTAGCAGTGCCCTTTACATCATGGGAAATCATTCTTGGGTCACTGCATCCGTGTCATCAGAGTCCAGATTCCTGGCAGCCCTGGACCTTCTTAAAACCTCTGCTTAAAACCTCTCTAAAACAAAAAGGAAACTAGCTTCCTTGGGCAGAGTATTTCAACTAAGTTTTAAATTCAGTTTCTTTATGTTGTGTTGTGTCATCCCAATGAATTGTTAAATTCTTGCTCCATCCGTTTCCAGTCAGGAATCCGTTTCCACCAGAGCCCTGTGTTTATGCACTTTCTGTAATTATGCTGCAGTTTCTTCATTAAAAAAGAATGAGCAAAAAATAGCCAGTAAACACTGAGTCCCTTCCGAATTTAACTGTCTTTGTAGTAACTAGGAGATTATAGATCCCCAGGAGGACAGTCATGCCGATCTTCTCTCTCCATTTGCCAACTCAACCAGCCCTGTTCTGTAGGGAGGAACACCAACACAGGGCAGCAATCAGAATCAGTTGATTCGATGACCACCTGTTTCTTTTAGTTAAAAATACTAATTTCATGGGCTTTCCAGGAGGGGATTCGGAGCTTCTCAGGAGCGTTTGGAGCTGTGGTCAAGCTCCTCTCTGCTGCACAAGTGCAGAGATGGGGCTGGTTACGTATTGATGATTGTTAGTGTGAATTGAAGATGGATTTTCTGTGTTCGTGCAGCAGCACTGGAGCTTGGCGCCCGGCTTTGGAGGTGCCCAAGCCCCAGCTCAGGATGGGAATCAACGTCTCAGGAAGCAGCTTTGGGGGTCCAAGTTGACCACAGGCAGCAGTGGTCAGCTCAGCAGCTCCCCAGCTTGGGAGATCCGGGTCTGCGGGAGTGAGCCCAGTGAAGGGCCACGGGGACGGTCCATGTCCCGAGCTGCCCCCAGCCTCAGCCCCGCTGCGGTCCCGCTCCTGGGGCAGTGACAGCCTCGTTGCTTTGGGCGCTTTAAGCTTCTCTTTTTCTGTCCTTTCCTGAAAGCATGAAAATAGCCTGTCCACGCTGCAGCTCTTAGAGGGGAAATAACAAATCAGCTTGAAACGTTTTTGTTTGTTTTGCAATTGAAAGTGATGGCCGGGTCTGTGTGCTGGGGATTTCCTGCTGTCACTCAGTCCCTTCCGAGAGTCTCGGGTCCTCATTGCTGTCCCCACGTGTTCCCCTGGCAGGAAGGAGCAAAACTGCTTCCAGTGAGCACTGAGCTGTGAGAGCAGAGTTCCTCGTGGCCCGTCACTTGCATCGGAGAGGGACCGCGGTTGATGGGATCAAACAGGGAGGAGTTGGTGTTTCTATCGCAGCAGGGAATGTTTAAGGGTTGCATGTTGATACGGAGGGAAAATGGACCAGTCTTTCAGGGCAGTTCTGGTTTAAGGGGAACACTTATCTCTTATCTCTTACAATTTGTTGTATGTATTTTTGCACTTCTCCTATATATTGTCTCCTTTTCTGTTTTCATTGGAATTTCAACCAGTTGGCATCTCAATTTGTGATTCTGAGATTTTCAGGAATGCAGAAATAATTTTTTCTTTCATCTAAGTTAGTAGCTTGGGATCTTTTAAACTTACTTTTCCTTCAGACATTTCTTTAAGAGTTGAGGATGAAGACCAGTCCTGTGGTCATGTCACGGATGGTTTCTTGATCTGCAAAATATAATTTGCACCATCACTCTTAAGTATTTTTACCCTTGCATTTGTGCATATTCTGCTTCTCAGCACAAAAATAACAGCTCAGCTGAGGAGAAAAATGTTCACCAAGCACAGGCAACTTTAAAAGTGTTTTAAATCTTGAATCCAGCCTCAAGCCTAATTACTGTGTGTGTGTTGGTGTTAATGACTGAAAACAGTCATTTTTTTCCCCCACCTTGATAACTAGTGCAGAACAGGAACCGGCGCTGGCAGATCTGCTCGCAGCAGAGCTAAACTGCCTGCCAAAATCCTGCGAGCTGCGGATGTGTCGCCCAGAGGACGCTGAATTCCAGGCGCCAGGGAGCAGTTTTGAGCTTTGAGCTCAGAGATGGGATATTCCCAACTTGGATTTATGGCCGCTGTCCAGGCAGGTACGATGAAAGAACCTGGACAAATAAGCACCTAATGCAGCTTTGTATCTAAAGTGTCCACTGGTGCAGAGCTTTCCTGAGGTGTTCTATGTGGGTTTTATCCTTAAAGCAATGGATGATTTAGCGACTTCAGAATTGCAGTAGCTCCAGTGTTGCTATCAGTGGGAATAAATGTCTAATCAAAGGGAGCCTTTAGGAGGAGTTCAGAAATGAAATGCTAGATGATCTCTAGGTGACTAGATGATCTCTAGAGGTCCCTTCCAACCGTAATGACTCTGTGACACTCCTGGGCTGTTTTGCAGCTGGATGCTTTGGTGCAGGATAATGCGCACAGATGCTGCTGTCGGGCAGAGCAAACGTGTTCGTTTTTGCAAAGCAAGGGGAAAAATCAGGAACGGGGCAGTGAAGCTCCGGAGGGGCAAAATGCCGTTTGAGGCAGGCGCGTGGGTTGAGCAGCCTGTGCCTGGGGCTCGCGCTCGTCTGCTTCCCTCTGCTGGGCTGCGAGCGCCAGCCCTCCTCTTCCTCGAGCGCCAGCCCTCCTCTTCCTCAGCAGAGGAGCTGCTCTAATGCCGCAGCCGCCCCAATGCCTTTGGATTTACAGGATTCTGCTCTAATTCCAGCTTCTTCCTGCAGCTCTGCCCGGCGCGAGCCCGTTCACAGCGCAGGTCTGCAGGTCGGACTGCCCAGTGGCACCGCAGCACGACGGGCTCAGATCCCAGATGAACCAAAAGGGTTTTCAATTTTCAGAGCTGTGTGTGCGAAGCTCGTTGCTCTTTGAGGGTGTCCTGCTCCCAGGGGTGCCCTTAGAGGCTCTGAAATTCTGGTCTTTTATGTTACAGGTCAGGGCACAGAGTGATTTCAAAGATCTTTCAAAGGCAAATACTTAGGTATCTATGAAAATTGACTGCTCAGAGCTTCCCTTCCAATTTAGTTATGCTCTGTCCCATCCAGCTGCGCTCATAAAAATACGGAATTGCCTTAATAGAAAAGAAGCCACTTCCCAGCCCAAAAATAACCTAGCTGGTGATGCCGTGGACGGCTCATCCCGCTGCCCATGCGTGGTGCCAGCGCTTCCCGCTCCGCCGTTCGGATGGAGGCTGGAAGCAGCAGCGGGTTTTCCCTGCAGACTTTCCCAAAGAGATGGTGCCAGACTCGGTGCAAAGTCCAGCTCTCCCGCTCCGGGAGCGCCCGCGTTTCCCTGCATCCAAAGCAGAGAGCGGAGGAGACCTGACAGCAGTTTGTGTCTCCACATAAGAGCAGTTGCTACGGAGGTTTGCTTTGTTTTTTGCCTTTGATCAGTGTTTTTAACAACTTGCCAGATAACAACATCTGGGTGTAAGCTACAGTAGTGCCTATGATAATATCTGCAATCTAGTATCCACAATATAATAATTATCACTATAATTAAAGTGTAAGCTGTGGGTTCAAGGGAGTTCTCACTGCATGAGAAGCCCACAGGAAGTATTGCAGTAACATGGTTTCATCGTCTATGGAAGATGCATAGAGATTTCTTAACTTGCTTTATATATTGTCAGACTTGCTTGCAAATAATAATTATTTGATGTTTTACAGTCTTAAAAGCATTTTCTTGACATATCCAGTATTTTTTAACTATATTTTTGGGTATCCACTGCCTTTGGGTAAGATCTTTTAGAAAAGATATTTTGTTAACACTTTCTTTGAATATATTTCAGCAATTAGGGCTCTTTCTTTTAACATCCTTGGGCTGCTGGGGTTTTAAGGTGCATCCTGCTGGTCCTTTCAATTCCTCTTAAGCAAGCCAGCCTGGTAATTAGAATACCACTAAATGTCATGTCCTCCTTTATGAACAGTATTGAATGATTTGCCTAAAGGTGTCGGGGAGCAGAGCAGTCCCAGCAGACTCACCCGGGGCGCAGGACACGCGCTGGGGACACGGGGACAAGTTGGGCTCTTCCCTCGCGCCCCTTCTGCCACCCGAGGGCCCCTAGACCTGGGCGTCTCCTTCCCGTGGTTGGGAAGAGTGATCCAGTGTCACCCGTTCAACCCCAAGATACACTGTCCTCGTGCAGGGGAAACCACCCCATCGCTCACCTGCCTTGAGGATTTTAATTGCTGAAATCCTGGGGTCCTGCCTGCCTGGTGGGAGCCACGAGAACAGGCAGCTGCTGTTTGCTGTGTCCTGCAACCTGGTTTCAGAGCGTTCCCCCCGTCCTCTAAATTTCTGCTGCTGATGGAATTTTAGTCTTTTTGTTAGCTTTGAAGTGATTCTGAGGTTCTTACATTTTACTTCTGATGAAGAAATTAAAAATAAGACAAATAGATTTCCCATATGCAGAGTTTCAGCTTCAGCAG